GCTCAATCATAGCACAACGACATGTGCTCAACTATGTTCATAGAAGCATTGTTTGTCATAGCAAAAACCTAGAAACAACCTAAATGCCCCTCGACCAAAGAATGGATAAGGAAAATATGGTACATTTACACAATGGAGTACTGCACAGCAGAAAAAAAATGATGTCTTGAAATTTACAGACAAATGGATTGTTCTAGAAAACATCATATTGAGAGAGATAACCCATATCTAGAAAACCAAATATAATATCTACTCATTCATAAGTGGTTTTTAGACATAAAGCAAAGAAAACCAGTCTCCAAATGACAATCCCAGAGAACCTAGACAACAATGAGAACCCTAAAATAGACATACGTGAGTCTAATCTACAAGTGAAGTAGAAAAAGACAAAATCTCCTGAGTAAATTGGAAGCATCAGGACTATGGGAGAGGGTTGAATGGAAGGGGAGAGAAAGGTAGGGTAACAGAGAAAAATGTATATCTCAATAAAATCAATTAAACAATGTTTTAAGAACTTAGGACTTTTCATGACAATGAGACACATCTGTTCCTGGCAGCACCAATTTATGTCAAGAGGATGATGGGCATTGAGGAGGCTCCTTATGGAGTTGGTTAGCCATTTGGGCAAGAAACTGTCCTTGCCTGTACTGCTTGATGTTATGCTGTATGAACTGGATATGTTGTACCCACAGAAAAATGACTACAGAACTTGCCTAAAGTGAGATGGTCCTTTAAGGTTCCTGCTTCATAAAAGAGTCTGTCAGACATTCTGAAGGACACAGAAGATTGTGACTGACAAATTGCCAATATAGGTTGAACTTTCTTTATAATTTATAATTTCCTACCTCATCAAAAAGTCTGCTGGATGCTATGGGCCAGTAGGCTGAAGATGTGTGCCCGAATGTTACAAAAGAACATGGGGGACTGTCTAGGCAGTGGGGATGTCTCTATCAATTCTAGAGTTTTGGAAGTTGCTTGCAATACACTTCCTGTTAACTCAGGTAATGTTATATCCTTCTGGAAACTTTGATGGATTTGAAGACTAGATAGTTTTAATTATGGTTTTTCTTAGTTATGATAAAAGATTTAAAAAGATAAAAATATTGTACTATAATTCTTGTTTGATACCTATTTTTGTGTAATTTTACTACATTAAAATTAAAACCTTCTTTTTATTTAGTCAGAAAAGTGGATTGTTTTTGGTCTGGGTGGCTGAGAAACTAACAAGCAGCCTCTGACAACAATAGACACATTACCAGATCTTAGGTTCATTCCTTACTCATCCTCTTGCACCCACATGTAGACTCCTGACCTACAGCGCCCAGTGTGCCTACCTTTAGTACAAGCAGGAAGTTCAACCCATGGCAGGCTTGGCTGACATTGAAACTCCTCATCCTAGACACACCACTTAATCAATATGTAAATTCAAAACACCAGCCTTTCCCTGATCTTTCATGCCATTTATAAACCAACTAGAGCATCACCCGGATCTCCAGAAGGTATTATTATGTGACTAACGAAACCATTTATGTGCTGTCAAGTCTGTGGCACCTGCACCGTACCGCTATGTGGTGTCAACCATCCTACAACCTAAGAGGGAAACAAGCAATTGAATCTAAAGATAAAAGTTACTGCCAGGCAGTGGTGGCACACGCTTTTAATCCTAGCACTCAGGAGGCAGGCAAATTTCAGTGAGTTCAAGGTCATCCTGGCCTACACAGTGAGTTCTAGAACAGATAGGACTACATACAGAGAAACCCTGTCTGGGGGGAAAAACAGTTACAGAGATAATAGACGACAGGTCTCTGCAACCTGTAAGGAAACTTCCAGGGTTTTCTATTATGCAATGAAGAAATGACATCACTAAGAGTATGAGGTCCAGTGGAGAAGTGGAATGAAGTCAAGTGTGAACAAATATGGGTCAGAAGATGATAGAAAATCACAATCAAGCATAAATCTCTACAGTCTTTCACACCTTTTTCAGACAAGATTTTTATCATATTTTATTGTATTTTATATATATCATTATATATGTAAAATCACTTCATATATGTATAACCCCAATACACTGTTTTACTTATTCAAACTTCAACGTATTAATTTTTATGGTGGAGGAGAGGGTTTATTGTAGATAATAAGGAAAACATAGTCAAAGTCTGGGACATTGGAAGAGTCCAGAGAGAACAAGAACCAGGCCATGTGAGAGGAAGGAGGAAGAGAGACTCAGTGGAGTAAAAAGTAGACAAAAAAGGGACAGGGTTAAAAAAAAATGAGTGGATTATATAAGGAAAGGCAGTTGAGGAAAGGGAAGCCTCCAGGCTGGAGAAGTTTAAGGTAGAGACCAAGGTATGCCAGCCTTACCCTGTAAGAGGAAGGGACTGATGGATGAGAGAACCTGGTGGCCAGTCTACTTTGATATCTCAGCTAGGATCCTCCATTAGCCATTGTCCCAGATTTGAAATTTAACATCCCAGCCTTTGTTGATAATAAATGATAAAGCATGATATAATTTTTTCTGTGACTACTTCCTGCTGACATTGGGGTTTCTTTGCTGGGGACCCAAGAAAGCTGGGTTGCTTGCCAATGATGTAGGAGTGTCTTCTATCTATCTGTTGCTTTCATTGGTTAATTAATAAAGAAACTGCTTGGCCTGATAGGTCAGAATATAGGTAGGCAGGGAAGACAGAACAGAATGCTGGGAGGAAGAAGGCAGTGAGGCAGACGCTATAGCTCTCCTCTCCAAGATGGACGCAGGTTAAGATCCTTCCCGGTAAGCCACCACCTCGTGGTGCTACACAAATTATTAGAAAAGGGTTAATCAAGATGTGAGAGTTAGCCAATAAGAGGTTGAAACTAATGGGCCAAGCAGTGTTTAAAATGAATACAGTTTCTGTGTAATTATTTTGGGTAAAGCTAGCTGGGAGCTGGGCCGCAGCCCGCCACTTCTATCACTACATGCCAAGGCTGGGAAGACCCTGAGACAGGCCATGTGAGGACAGGGATGAAGGGAAATGGGAGAGACAGAAGAGTAAGGGATAGGCAAAACAGGAACCAGGTAATCAAAATGGATAAATTATATAGGGAAGGACATCTAGGGTAAGAGCATCCTAGCCCCTGACCTGGAGAAATTTAGGGTAAGTGCAAGCATACACCAGTCATACGATTCAACGGGTAGAGGCTGAAGGACGCTGGGAGAACCTGGCAGTCAGGTCTGCTTTGATACGTTAAATAGGAACCTCATATAATTCTAAGATGCTGGCAGAAAACTTTAAGATCTTCAATGACTCTCAGGTACTGTAAATTATATGTTACTAACATCAAAGGCTGAAATAAATTCATTATCCAGAAATAGAGCAATTAAATAAACAATATTGCATCTAAATCAGCATGGTCCTGTATTATATAGCTTTAGACACTCTAGAATCCATCAAAATTTAAACACATAAAGATATTCAACACATTACATTTGAAAATGAACTCACAAAAATAATATGCACCATGCAAACAGTATTTTTTTTCATGTCTGCACATGACTGGTGCATAACATGTTGCTTAGTATCACCCAAATTAGTTTCATTGTCACATTCACTTAATTTCCACATATTTGTTTTCAGATCAACTAGATTATACAAACACTGTCTGTAATAATTGCATTATATGCACTCCCCAAAGTGCCAAATATGCATTTAAAACTATATAATATTTCTTTAAAACACAGTAATTCACCTGAAAATAAAGTAACATTGTGTTAATGATGTGGGGTTTTTTGAGCCAGGGTTTTTATGTGTAGCCCTCACTGTTCTGAAACACATTTTGCAGATTAGGATAACTGTTGGTACCCAGGTTTTTTCCCCTTTGTTCGAGGCGCTATGCAGGGCCATTTTTCCTCTGCTTCCTGGTTTCTCTGCTTTTTGCACCAGCCTGAGGGTGTAGCTTAGCTAGAACTTGCCCTCTTCTGTTATGGTAATTCCACCTGCAAGCAAGGTTCCTGCAGCAGTTGCTCTCTGACCTTGGGCGCTGCCGCCTGACATTTTCTTTCCCTGTTCCTGATGGGGGGCTGGTGTCCTTCTGCCCCATAGTATATATGCCCGACTTGTGCTTAATAAAGTGGCCATTTACTCCTTTGGTGAATGAGCCTTGTCTCTCTGTGTGTCTGTTCAACCCTTAGGATATTTATCCGTTCTCATGGACTTGGTTCGAGGGCACGCACCTGAATCGGGTGTGGGAATTCACAGAAAAGTGCAGCCAACAGATAACCTCAAACTCACAGAGGTCTGCCTGCCTTTGGCTCCCCAGTGCTGGGATTAAAGACATGCTCCATCACCATCCAGTATTAGTGGTGTTCTTAAAAACATTTAGATACTGAAGTTCTAAAACCACATATATCTTGTGACCCTGATTCCATCCCCCTCTACCTGCTCTCCTGCCCACACTTTCCATCCCCCATGCCCATCACCTTCATGTGCACACCCACTTATGCACTGAGATTTCTACTGAGGCAGCTCCATCATTTCATATTTTCCCATGTGAATCATTGCTCCTGACACACTAGATGATTTGGCCACCCTGTAACATCTCTCAAAAAGTTGTTGAACACCTTTCTTACTTCTTTTCCTTCCAGGTGCACAACTAGTCATGTCTTCACTCTCCTAGTGCAGGTCAGTGTGGTCCTGTTGCTAGATAGAGCCTGACAATGTAAGGTGAATTCTCAGTGCTACTTTAATATCTGATCTGAAAAGCATTTTCTGATTCCTGTAACTTTCTCTCCTCCCAGAACCACATGAAACCAGGAACCATGGATAATACTGAAAGTTAATTGGGCAAAAGCTGGTGAGCCTGGGTCCTGGGAAGGCAGGCAGCATAAGTACATCATTTTTTACTGTCCTTATGTGATCAGAGTAACCTTCAATTATACTTCTGACTCCATGACATTTATAAAAAGCCTATTTATAATAACAGTTCATTGTGCTCATCTAGTAATTCTAGAAATAGATACATACCATTAGTTTTTCTCAGTGCTTCCAGTAGATAAAAGACTTCCTCCTGAATTCGGTCTTCAATAGTTTTCTTTCCCATTCCCATAGACCGTAAGACCATGAGGGAGAAACGCCGCGTTTGCTTCCATATCTCTCCATTGCTAAAAGTGATGCCTGAAGGGGAAAAATCATCATGAATTCTAGTGGAGAGTATTCATCACAGGAAATAATAGCAGCTCTTGAGCTTGCTTAAAATCTTGGGTGTATTGTGTGATTTGTGCATCTAGAAGTTCAACATAAATTCTTTTAGTTCAAAATGTGATCAAGGCAAAAGGTAAGCCCATAAAAATAAAATTGTCAAGGAAGTTTTAGACAACAATACAGGGGAGCCAAAGATCCCTCGTCACTTTTGCCAGCACTCAGTGCTCCAACAGAAGACTGGACAGCTTTATACTAGACTCAAAATCAATAGCTGATATACAGCTGGCTTCCAATATCAGTTTCAAACTCTGAATTAATAGAAAATAGCTACATGATCAGTGTAAACTGTAATGTGAATATAGAATGGTCCTCTTTCTTAGGTTATTAAATTGTATTCTAATATGCATTCCTAATGTTGGGCAGCAGGCCAGACCTCCTAATCAGCCACGCAACCATGGAAAATAGTATCACATATTCTATAGTGTGCCATGTGAGGCCATGGTGTATTTTAGTTAACTATTGATGTGGGATTCCCCTCTGTATGTTGTGATTACCATTGATTAATAAAGAAACTGTTCTAGGCCTATAGCAGGGCACAACTGAGTTAGGTGTGGAAGACTAAACTGAATTCTGGGAGAAAGAAGGTGGAGTCAAGGAGATGCCATGGAGTTGCCAAAAGAAAAATATGTGATCTCTCAGCTGGAACCTCACCAGTTAGGCCACAAGACTCATGGTAAAATTAATAATAAAAATAGGTTAACCAAAGATATAAGAGCTAGCTAGCAATATGCTTAAGTGATTGGCCAAACAGTGGTTTAAATAATATAGTTTTTGTGTGGTTATTTTGGTTCTGGGTGGCTGGGAACGAACAAGCAGCCTCCTACAACTAACTATGGTAAATACATTTTCAACTTAGACTAATTTTTGCTCAGATGGATTTTGCTTAGATGGATTCTCAGTGTGACCTGAGAAACGTCTGAACTTGTTTTAAAAGCATTTCCAATTGATGGAAACAGTATCCTAAGGGAAGACAATTTCTTCCATTCTGAACATTCCTCAGTTGCATGAAGTTCTGAATGTAGTGTTGAGGTCTTACAGGTTCCCCCTCGCCATTCACTTTGGCATGTCTATTGGTGACATCCTTTTTCACCTCATGTTTGGGAAACTATGTTGGTAAGACTTACGGAAACATCTTCTGACACTATTAAGAGACACATTCTCACAGTAAACTCCCTGATCCTATAGCCCTCCATTCTTTCTGTCCCCTCTCCACAATGATCCCTAGACCTTGGGTGCAGAAATATTTTGTGGATGATCCATCAGGACTGGGCTCCACAACCCTAAGAATTGACTTTTTTTCTGTATTGAGTATTCAATACCAATGGTTGACCCTGAAAATATACATATAAATAACATCATATGACTTAGCAGGTTATATTTAGTAATATATTTATATTTATACAATAACAGCTACTGAAAAAAAGGTAATGGATTTGAAAAAGAGCAAGGAGAAGTATATAGGAGGATTTGGAGGGGGAAATGTTGTAAATATATTATTATAATCTCAAAAATAATTTAAAAGGAAGAAAAGATTTTCAATATAGGGCAGTACACAAACTCTGAATTTCCCTGAGGCTCTCTTAGAGGAGTACAGCTGTGGAGGTTTTTTATTGTTGCTATTCTTTTTACTATATTCAAATATTTCTTATGCCTTTTAAAGATAAAAGACAACTCAGGAAATATTCATATCTATACTGGTCCTCACACTACAGAAACATGAAATCAATGAGATCTATACTCAGGCCATGAGACAAAATATTTGGTGACTAGATATTTTGTCCCTTTCTTAGAATCAGTATCTTTACTGTTATGTTTCTCGTTATAATATAAAATAAATATATTAGAATCACAAGTTCAAACTTAAAGTTTCATGGCAAGATTGTGTGTAAAGTTAATCAGTTTTGAAAATGGGCAAATGATCCCTTATAAATAACACAGTTTTTATTAACTATCACTAGGGGTCAGAAGAGGGCAGGAAACAGTGAGAAAAATGAGCCAAATTCATCAGTACGTGCTATATCCGTTTACTGAAATGTCACACCAAATGCCATTAAAATCTACTAATGAATGATAATCACCAAACATAGAAAAAATAAACACATTTACAGGGTGGAGTCAGTTGTTTAGTGTGTCAGCTTGACACAAGCTAGAGTCATCAGAGGAGGAGACTCAGTTGAGGGGATGACTCAACGAGATCCAGCTGTAAGGCATTTTCCCAACTAGCAATCAACGCAGAAGGGCCCAGTCCATGGTGGGTGGTGCCATCCCTGGGCTGGTGGTTCTGGGTTCTATAAGAAAGCAGGCTGAGCAAGCCATGAGAATCGAGCCAGTAAGCAGCACCACCATCCCCAATTCCCTGCTATAGTGTCTGCATCCAGCTTCTAGGATCCTGCCCTATTTGAGTTTCTATCCTGACTTCATTCAATAATGAGTAGCAAATTGGAAAAGTGAGTCAAACAAATCCTTTCCTCTGCAACTTGCTTTTGGTCATATTGTAGCATAGAAATGCTAAGACATGAGGAAATGAATGGAACTATAAATTATTTGTTTCAATAAAAAAACAACCAATCTTACGAAAAAAAGTTTTCTGGTATAGAGAATCTAGAGGGTGTGTGTGTGTGTGCATGTGCGTGTGTGTGTGTGTGTGTGTGTGTGTGTGTGTGTGTGTGTGTGTGTGTAAAAAGAAAGAACAAAGACTTTGAGAGGGGAAGAAGAGATATAGGAGCAGGGGATAAAAAGAGAGGCTAAGATGTGAAAGCAGAGATGGGCTATTGGGGAGGAAAAGGGAATCAGTGACACAGACAAGAACGGGGAGAGCAGTGGGCAGATGACAAATCAGAAAGAACAGAGGTGTCACAAATATGACATAAGGAAATGATTTTCCTGTGCTATATTTAAATTGTTTTCAATTTTTACAAATAACTCATGAACTTATAAATACTTCTGGCTTCTCGGTTTCCTATGTAACTTCATTGACACTTGTGTAGACTTGAATGTGCCCCAACACAGAGCCATACCTAACCCTTGGCTGCCTTTACTGAGTAATGATGATTGCATTTTGCCAGAAAACTCATCTCCCCGGTCAATCAGAGCTTCCTTCAATGGTTCGTATCCATACAGCACGACCGTGGGTTTCATGCCCAGATAAACAGTGAACACAGAGCCGTATTCTTTTGCTAGCTAGAAACAGAACATAGGTGGTCAGTGAGGGAAATATTTTCATTCATATCAAAGAGACATTTTAATATTCACATGTTCATTGACTTTAGACCCCATAGTCTAATAACAAATGACAGTTAACAGCCATTATCACTAGGCTCTCGCCGACACTGCAGTTACTAGCCGTCTTCTATACAACACAGACTGTGATACGTATTTGCTCAAACTTTACTTTATGTTTTCCTGTCAAATCTACATTGCATTAGATTTTTCTTCCAGCCTATTCTTAAAATAAACAATGTGTGTCATTCCCGAGTGTGGAACATCTGTGCCACTCACCCCGCTTGTACACTAATGCTCACCTTCTGTCATCCGTTCTCCATGTCATCCTTCACGCTGAGGTCTCAGAGTTCTAGCAGAACTGCAAACACAACAGGACAGACATGCCTACTCTCCAGACTGCACCTTCTACAAGGCTTTCTACATTCCAATCACCCTTAAAATCAGCTGCATGCACAGAGCATGGTTCCTGAAGCCAGGCAGCCATTCATTACTGTTTAATGTAAACACAGTCAACTAACCTGTGTAGAATCATTACATATTAAAGAGATAGAAATTAAACCCCAGGCGGAGCTCTCCCGAATCCCATCCCAGCCTTCATCCAGGTACACCTTCCTCTCTTCCCCCCTTCCCCCTGGGGCCACAAGATCTCCCCAGAGCTGCTCCCTTGCACGCTGGGCCTGGGTTGTGGGCTCAGCCCGGCAGGGGCAGTTCCTGTGCTTTGATAGCCTGCCTAAGCACAGGCAGGCCCTGTGTCAGCTCAGCCACATTCCTGGCCAGCAAGAGACAGTGAAGTTCTAGCAGTCATCCATTGGAAGAGGGGTGAGTTTGCTCCTGGCCCGAGGGCTTCAGCTAGGAGGAATTCAGACTTTCCCCGCTCCCCTCGACTTTCTGGTCACCCTGCAGTGGTGGTTCCACCCTGCAGAGCTCTCCCGAATCCCATCCCAGCCTTCATCCAGGCACACCTTCCTCTCTTCCCCCTTCCCCCTGGGGTCACAAGATCTCCCCAGAGCAGCTCCCTTGCACACTGGGCCTGGGCTGTGAGTGCAACCCGGCAGGAGGGAGTGCCTGTGTTTCAATAGACTGCCTGAGGAAAGGTAGACCTTCTGTCAGTGAAGTCCCTGCCCAACAAGAAAACCTGACCTGATACCAGAATATCCAATATAGAGAATTTGAAGGAAGAGATGGGCAGACGCCAAGGCAAGAACTCCTCCAACAATCTAAAAAACAACATGAAATCACCAGATCCCAACGACCCTACAACAGAAGGACCTGAACCTCTTAATTCAGAAGAAGTGGAAAAAAGTGCCATTATGAAAGCAATAGAGTCCCTTAAACAGGATATGAATAACTCCCTTAAAGAATTGGATGAGAAATACAACAAAAAGATTGAAGAAATGAGTAAAGAAATGGATGAGAAGTATAGCAAAAAGTTCGAAGAAATGAGTAAATCCATAAATGATACACTGGGAAACCAAGAAAAATCAATCAAACAGGTAATGGAAACAGTTCAAGAATTGAAAACTGAAATGGAGGCAATAAAGAAAACACAAACTGGATATGGAAAATCTAGGTAAACGAACAGAGACTACAGAATCAAGCATAACCAATAGGATATAAGAGATGGAAGAACGAATCTCAGAGTCTGAAGATACCATAGAAAAAGTAAATGCTCTGATCAAAGAAAACAGCAAATCCAAAAAATTCTCATCACAAAACATTCAAGAAATCTGGGACACAATAAAAAAAACCAAAACTAAGAATAATAGGGATTGAAGAAGGAGAAGAACTGCAGATAAAAGGCCCAGAAAATATATTCAACAAAATTATAGAAAAAAACTTTCCCAACCTAAAGAATGATATTCCTATGAAGGTTCAAGAAGCATACAGAACACCGAATAGACTTGATCAAAAAAAATCCCCTCGCCATATAATAATCAAAACACAAAACATACAGATTAAAGAAAGAATATTAAGAGCTGCAAAGGAAAAAGGTCAAGTAACTGATAAAGGTAAACCTATCAGACTTACACCGGACTTCTCTACGGAAACCATGAAAGCCAGAAGGTCCTGGATAGAGGTACTGCAGAAACTAAGAGACCATGGATGCAAACCCAGACTACTATACCCAGCCAAGCTATCATTCACTATCAATGGAGAAAACAAAATATTCCAGGATAAGAACAAATTTAAACAATTCGTAGCCACAAACCCAGCCTTACAGAAAGTAATAGAAGGAAAATTGCAACCCAAGGAATCCGACATTGCCAACACTGCCTACAATAACTCAGACATCTAGTGACCCTTCAAAAGCTTAACACAAAGAAGGGACACATAAAAACTCTATTAAACAAAAAAACAAAAAATAATGATAACCGGAGTCAACAATCACTGGTCATTAATATCACTTAATATTAATGGACTCAATTCACCTATAAAAAAGGCACAGACTAAGAGATTGGATACGAAAACAGGATCCAACATTCTGCTGTTTACAAGAAACACACCTCAACCACAAAGACAGACATCTACTCAGAGTAAAGGGTTGGGGAAAGGTTTTTCAAGCAAACGGACCTAAGAAACAAGCAGGTGTGGCCATTCGAATTTCCAACAAAATTGATTTCAAACTAAAATCAATCAGAAGAGATGGAGACAGACATTTTATACTCATAACAGGAACAATTCATCAGGAGGAAGTCTCAATCCTGAATATCTATGCCCTGAATATAAAGCCTCCTACTTATGTAAAAGAAACACTTCTAGAACTCAAGGCAGTCATCAAACCACAGACACTGACAGTAGGAGACTTCAACACTCCTCTCTCACCAATGGACAGGTCAATCAGACAGAAAGCTAACAGAGAAAAAAGAGAATTATTGGAGGTATTGAATCAAATGGACTTAACAGACATCTATAGAACATTTCACCCAAAATGGAAAGAATATACCTTCTTCTCTGCAGCTCATGGAACCTTCTCGAAAATTGACCACATACTCGGTAACAAAGCAAACTTCCACAGATACAAAAAAATATTAGTAACCACCTGTGTCTTCTCAGACCACCATGGATTAAAGTTAGAATTCAACAACAGTGCTACCCCCAGGAAACCAACAAACTCATGGAAGTTGAACAGTCAACTACTGAATCACCCCTGGGTCAAGGAAGAAATAAAGAAAGAAATTAAAGTCTTCCTTGAATTTAATGAAAATAAAGACACAACATACTCAAACCTATGGGACACTATGAAAGCAGTGCTAACAGGAAAGTTCATAGCACTAAGTGCCCAATTAAAGGAAACGGAGAAAGCACACATTGGAGACTTAACAGCACACTTGAAAGCCCTAGAAATAAAAGAAGCAGATTCACCCAGGAGGTCTAGAAGACTGGAAATAATCAAACTGAGGGCTGAAATCAACAAAATAGAAACACAGAAAACAATCCAAGGAATCAATGAATCAAAAAGCTGGTTCTTGGAGAAAATCAACAAGATCGACAAACCCCTATCCAAATTAATCAAACGGCAGAGAGAGAACATGCAAATTAATAAGATCAGAAATGAAAAGGGGGACATAACCACAGACACAGAGGAAATTCAGAGAATCATTAGATCTTATTACGAAACTTTATATGCCACAAAGTTGGAAAATGTAAAAGAAATGGATTGGTTTTTAGATAAATACCATATACCAAAGTTGAACCAAGACCAGGTGAACCATCTAAATAGACCTGTCAGTCGTAAAGAATTAGAAGCTGTTATCAAAAATCTCCCTACCAAAAAAAGCCCAGGACCAGATGGTTTCAATGCAGAATTCTACCAGAACTTCCAGGAAGAGCTAATACCTATACTCCTTAATGTATTTCACAAGATAGAAACAGAAGAATCATTGCCAAACTCTTTTTGTGAAGCTACAGTTACCCTGATACCAAAACCACACATAGACACAACCAAGAAAGAGAATTACAGACCAATCTCACTCATGAACATTGACGCAAAAATACTCAATAAAATACTGGCAAACCGAATCCAAGAATACATTAGAAAAATTATCCATTATGATCAAGTGGGCTTCATCCCAGAGATGCAGGGCTGGTTCAACATACGCAAATCTATCAATGTAATCCATCATATAAATAAACTGAAAGAAAAAACCATATAATCATTTCATTAGATGCTGAAAAAGCATTTGACAAAATTCAACACCCCTTTATGATAAAGGTGTTGGAGAGATTGGGTATACGAGGATCATACCTAAATATAATAAAAGCAATATATAGCAAGCCGACAGCTAATTCAAATTGAACGGAGAGAAACTCAAAGTCATTCCACTAAAATCAGGAACACAACAAGGCTGTCCACTCTCTCCATACTTCTTCAATATAGTGCTCGAAGTTCTAGCAATAGCAATAAGACAACATAAGGGGATCAAGGGGATTCGAATTGGAAAGGATGAAGTTAAACTTTCGTTATTTGCAGACGATATGATAGTGTACATAAGCGACCCCAAAAACTCTACCAAAGAACTCCTACAGTTGATAAACACCTTTAGTAATGTGGCAGGATACAAGATCAACTCCAA